TTCCTTATATAACAGCTCTTGAATTTCCTAAAAGCCTGACCTTCTGCTAGAAAGTGATCAGGAAGTTTCCAATAAGACAAGGAATCTAATCCATATTTCTCACTGCTTGTTGGTAATTAGTATAGGGACATTAACAATCAACCACAAAGTCAGATAAGTCATACTGCCCCAGTTTCTCCTGACATTCACTATCCATTACACATCCCTGGAGAAAAGGGGGAGGATTCTTCAGGTTGCCATGGCAGCAGTAGGCCAAGTTAATTTACTAGCCTTCAAGAAAATGAATGAATGGATTAGAGATGTGTTATTAAACAGCAAAACTAGATATCTATACACAGTAGTTTTCAGGAGACTGGGTCTTTGGGTCTATTAATAAGCAAACATCAAGAAGGTTGGACTCCAAACTAAGAGTGAAAAAGATTTATCTTTCCAATTTAGCATCTCCATCCAAAGCTTTCGGACTCTCATCTCAGGCATTGTTTTGTTTAGGTTTATCCTTTCTTGTCTACTTCTATCTACAACCCAGGCAGAGAAGAAAGTGGTGTCTGGCAAAATTCACCCAGATTTCCACCTTTAACAGTAGAGAATGGAGTTTAGCAAATTTTTTAACAAGTTTATGTAAAGTCATGATTCCGAAGTCTTAGTGCGGTTTGGAAAAAGAGAATCAGGAACAGTTTTCTGGCGAACATGAAATTTAGTTAGCTATGTGGCCACCTAGTGGTCCTTCTATGAACTTTATTGGTGGGTCATCAGGAATATAGACATTTGCATACTAATAGCGAAGTTAACCCTTCTTAAAATATAACTTCCCAATTTTAGCATGTCTAATATGAGCAGAATAGATTACCAAATAGGAAATAGTTGGTATTTGAGAATAATCAATGTTGTCGATGTAATCCGGTCAGTCATAGGTGAGTGGGGGTTTTGTTTTGTTTTGTATCACCATAGCTGCATTCATGGGAGAACTGATGTAAAAATACACTTGAGAGTTTTTTGACACCATAGCATTTAGTTAATATAGCACAGAATATATGGATTCTAATTTGTTTTTCTCAGTGTTTTGAAAAGTGAGTATGCAATTTGAATCCTGGACCCAGTGGCTTGAGAAACACAGCAGTCATGTGTATGTGTGTGCCCAGAATCCCGAAAGAAGGTAGAAGGGGAGGAGAAGGGATTGCGAAGTGACCATGTCCCATGGGGGTTGGGGGGAAGGGGTGGCCAGAGAGGCTTTCTCATGTCTTCCACTGGCAATTTTTTTTTTAAAGAAAAAGACTCCCCAGAAAGCAATTTGTCTAAACTTAAACTGCAGAATCTCTTGCCCCTTTCCCACAACTTCCTCACTCCCCTGCATTGACCCCCTTCTTATAGTGTGTAGTCACTGATGCCTCTGCTCTTTTCTTTTTCCAAGGTGCTCTTAGGTTTGTATCATTTAGTGGTCAGTGATGAAGGCAGAATTTTCTTAAACCCCAGGAAACCATAAAACTTCAGTCTTTGGGGCACTGACCAGTGTGGGTTGAGGAATAGTTTGCAGTTCTCTTGGATTTTACTCTCTGTGGCACTTCCTCAGCTACTCAGCCCCATGCATGTCTCAGGGGTATGTGGAACGCTCATCAAATATTCCATGTGTCCTCTTGTTCTCAGAACACATCCCCACCCCAGTACCTCTCTGGCTGGATTACTCTTCTCAATGGCAACTACAACTTTGGGCTAGCTGAGATTCATCTTGGTCCTATTTATTTCTGAAAACCTTTGAAACTTTTGCTTATACATCATTCAGATTCCTTCTCCTCAACCCAAATCCAGTCTACTAAAGGCCCTTTAAAAGATGCAAATACAGAATTATTGGGTGGTTGGGAAAATCATGATGCATTTTTGCATAGAAAAATATGTCATGACTTTCCAGACTACCTAATAGATGGAAGCATTGGAAGGGGCAGGTTATGTGATGGGCCCTGAAGTTTAAGTTTCATGAACTCTCCAGTGAATTTACCTCTGTCCAGGAAGAAGGAGACATGACCCAGCTGCAGAGGACAGCTTAGCAACCTCAAACACAGAACTTAACAAGCTTGGTCTGAGTTTAAGCATATTCCAGCAGTAGAAAGAGTTCTAAGTCCATGTATCGAGTATAGCAGCAGGAAGTGCATAGGGTCTGAGGTAGAACACAGAAGTAATTGAACTATGGGTCTGTTGGGTCTGTTCATTGACAACAGCATTTTTGTCAGCCACTGTGGGTTCCAGGGGAAAAGATTCAAATCCCTAGAGGTGGCAAGAGCCAGAAAAGAGTAAGGTTGCATCTAAGTAGTTGGTACTCAGGGGAGGGATCCAATTCTGGAGATAGAATTTCTAAGGAACTCAGGTTACAACCACTTAAGAATGTGGTCGTAGGACTGAAGCAAAATTTTGCACTGGAGACCATTGGTGCTTGTGTGGATGTTATGGAAAAAATGAGCATAGGGTCTGGTTAGCAAACTGACTTAATTCCAACCCTTTATACAACCCCATCCCCAAAGAGAGGAGCAGGGACTCCTGATGTGTATTCCTATAAGTCATAACTGGTTCCATGACTAGATGTTTAATGGGACACACAGGGGCAAGTCATAAGGAGAAGCTTGTGACGAGCACTTCCTAATCTATAGACTGCATTGTAAGGAGAGGTCCATAAGAAATAGAGTAGATGGTGACAACTATTGAGGATTACAGATAAAGTATCTGAGGCATGGGGTAAGGACTATGGGCAAGTTTGGAGAGTACCTCCTAAAGTTAAAGAAGGGCTCAACTGTCAGAAAGCTCCCTGGAGTGACCGAAGAAAAGAGAAACAAATGAGAAATTTACAGAGAGAATCTAGACAGGAGGACTGAGGGGGTACCAGGCATATTTATTATTGGAGAGAGAGAAGAAATTAGAAAAAAAAATCACTAGAAATTAGTAATTAGTTGACTATGGAGCCCAAGACAGAAAAAGCAGGTGTTGTGGTAAGTTCTCTGCAAGATATAATGGAACATTGACAAAATAATGAATTAGGAAGGAAATTCTTTTATAAAGGGAAATTTTTACCACTAAAATATATATATCGTTCATCAACACATATAGCATTCCAGAGAGTATAAAGATATTGTTGTCCTTTTGTTTTAGACACCCAAGGATTATTGCTTGCTTTAATGAGGTTAATATATGATAGGACTTTAAGAAGTTCATAGAAAAATAGAATTAAAATGTGATTTTACTTTAGAATAAAGAACATTTTGAATCTATGCATAATTTCTTCATAATATGTGTTTTCCATGAATTTTTGAAGTATGCTCATATATCAGATAAAGTTGCTTTTTTTCCCCAAATTTAAATAGATATTTAAGATATTAATTATTTTAGGTATTTTGTATTGTTTTGTTTTTGCCATATGGTGCATGCACTTGCTGGAGAGAGACAAAAAGAAACAGAAAGAGGAAAAGTGAGAAATGGTCATGCCACAATCTCTTCTCCTTTTTTTTTTTTATCTCGGGATTCTGGGTGCGTGCGCACTTGTATCCGGTGTGATAGGCCATGTGGGAATCCAGCACCTTAACAACCACATCACCTGATGGCCCCCTCAATGTAATTGCCAAAAGGCACATATATTTATCAGAGAGCAAAAGACAAAGAGACAGGGAGAAACTACTATCCAATGGGGTATGGTCATGCAGCAATCCCTTCTGCATTTTTCCTTCCAGTCACACACCTGCCTGACATATTTTTCAAGCTGTTAGTGGCAGGGAAGAGGAGATATGACCCAGCTGCAGAGGACAGCTCAGCAGCCTCAAACAGAGAACATAACAAGCTTGGACTGAGTTTAGGATTTGAAACTCAGTCAGCCATGTGAGATTCAGCTCCCTTAACCACTGTACTGCAAGGCTGGCCCTTAAAGTGACAGTTTTAAGAAGAACTACTTAAGAAAGCTGACACAGTATGAAGTGCTGAGTCACTACTGACCTTATATTGTGACTCTCTACTCTAAGAAGAAGTCCACTGAACATAGCAACTAAAATGTTACCAAGGACAACAGGCTTTCTTCTTTCATTTGTAGCCTTTATTTCATTGAGTCAGAAAATTGTCACTTAGCATTTGAAAACTTTATCTCAAGAAATGGAAAAAAGTGCATATAGCTTTAACAGTTCACAAAAAGACAATAGAGAACACAGGAGAACACCTGGAGAGTCATCTCTGTAAGAAGTAGCTGGAATCATTCCCAGGACAGCCCCACACCATAACACAGTGACAGGAATAGGGCAGAGACCGCACAGAAGTTGCACACTCATTGCTTGGTTCCATATATTGGAAGGCTCTCAAAAGCCCTTCCTGGGAGTGATGAGTGTGTCTTTTCTGCTGGAGTTTGCTCAATTTCCTACAATCCTCTGAATTGTTCGTAAGCTTCTTAAGGAATTATAGAAAGGCAAATCTAGGAATTTAGAATTGCCAGGAGTATTTTGTATCCTCCTTTGCTAATATCCCAATTTTTAGAACTACTCTGTAGTGATAGTGACTATTTTTCAGCTTCCTTCACATTGGGTTAACTAGTGAGACTCGAAGTCACCCTATGCTGCCCTCCTTGACATTTTTGTATAGGACAATCTCACTTAAACCAGAACGAGTGGTGGTGATGCCATGTTTAGATTAAAGTAAATACTTTTATGACCTCGAGGAGGTAATCTCTTACAATGGAGGTTTTACTTCTTAGACTTGGGGTACATTCTCAAAGTTTCCACTCGTTTAAAGTAACTATATTAACATTTTGTAGAAAAATACCAAAGCAGGGGATCTGTTTTATGTGTGTGCGTGTATGTGTTTTTTATATTGAGCTGAAAAGCATTTTAAAAAACCATAAGAAAAAAAATTGTTGTAGCATACATCTATGCTACAAATTGTTAATTCTACAGGTATTAAGAGTAAGAAGTCATTTATCTTAAATATTTTCTGTCTGGCTAAAGAATATTTGGAAGATTATCCAATATTTGTGTAGCAAACATTTAGGGGACATTGTGAAGGTCTTGCATCATAATCCTCAGCCTAGCCTCGCATAGCCATTTTGGATATCCAATTTCAGACTCTAAATAAAAAGATAATTAAAAATAAGTTGTTTTCTATAAAATTTATAAGCACAGATTTCAGTTACTCATTTATATCTACTAATTAGAATAACCTTTCTGAATTTTGTTGTACTACATTTATTCACACTTTTCTCAATCTCCTTAGCCATGGCTCATTAAATTGGAGTTATAGGTTTATCATGAAAGAAAGAAAATGATTTTGTTTTCCATTATAAGATGAGAAACAGTTTGCGCACATTAAAGGGCGTCTCCATGCCCACCCTCCACGAGGCAGGCTTGTCACTGTGGAGTGGGAAAATGCTGCAGTAGGTCTGTATCAGGCTGGTTCTTTCCCAGAACACTTTGAGGAGAAAAGCTTCGTACTAATCCAGTACCTGGTATATTGTGAAAACGGAACAAAATGAATGCAGGAAGTAAAGAACACTAAAGCTCAAAAAATGTAGACAAATAATACTTATTTTTCCCTTTGGCAAAAATTGCAATTTTTAAATAGTTTTTCCAATACAAACATAAAAGATTAAATGTGAAATTATCCTTCGTAAGTAAACATTTATTGATTTGGTAAGTGAACATTTTAATAAAGCAGTTATAAAGAAAACTCCCTTTTCTGGGACCAGCAGTGAGCGTGATGGCTATGTCGCTGGACTCCCATGCAGTCGACCGCGGTTTGTGTCCCAGACCAGGTGGCTTAAAACTCATGCCGGGCGCGTGTGCGTGCGTGCCCAAGATCCTGCGAGGAGAATGGAGGAGAAGGGATTGTGGCGTGGCCATCCCCTCTGGGAGGTGATTTCTCGCTTTCTGTCTCTCTGTCTCTCTCTCTGTCTGGCGAGCGCACACGCCCTATAGCAAAAACCTCTCAAAAAAAAAGAAAAGAAAAGAAAGGAAAAGAAAGAAAGAAAGAAAACTCCTTTTTCTATGATTACCAGCATTATCATGTCCTTTTAAATACTTTAAAAGAACCCATGGGTATATATGCTGTGAACAACAAAAATCTGAGATGAAAGTGCTGTGTATGCTATTTTTAAAATTTATCAAGACTCTGGTAATGTTGAATTTTAGATTTTGCTCTTTTGGACTGGGTTTAAACTCTGAGACATACTGGGCCATTTTTCTGTTAGAAATTTTAGTATATCTGTGAAAACAATTTTAAGAATTCTGTTCTTTTGATAAATACAGAAGATGTCTCCAGTTAATCAAGGAGGAGGTAAAGAACACAAAAGGTTGCCTCCATTGGAAATTTAAAAAGGGGTACTTTGTCATGGAGACCTACCACTTTGGCACTTTGATTGAGATCAGCAAGTCCTCTTGGATCTTTACTTGCAGGTTTCTGAAATAAATAAATACTGTTGTATTAGGATTGTCACCAGATAACACACATCCATACATATAAACATGCATGTGCACACATAGATCTGAGCTCATATACACACATGTAGACCACTACTTGCTCCTTGAAAAATTAAGGCAGTGGATAAATTTCTAAGGGATGGAGTAGTGGTGGATAGTTTTGATTTAACTAAAGTTTTATCAGAACATATTTTTCCTACAAAATGTATGAATCTTTCCTAGATGATATTAGGTATCTCAGATACTTCAAATTATTTTCTTAAGCATTAGAACTTTCATTCAGATGATATCTCTACTGCAAACTGGGAAAACCGAATTTTAAGAATGAACTGCACTGGTTAAATAGATTTGCTCAGAAAAAGTCACTCCCACCCTCTAACAAATGCCAAGATCTATGTGATATGAAGATTCTGTGGAACCATAGCCTGAAAACTACTAATCATAGTCTTTCAGTCATTCATAAAGAAAGCTTAATGAGAATTGCTAATTCAAAAAATACTGAATTGAAAGTCTTGGTGAGATGAGTGTTCACCACTTTGGTTAACTGAAGGCTCTAGTGGAGAACCTTTGGGCTACTCAAGGTCTCATTGAAAACTATAATTTTATTTTTATCCCTCAGAACTAATTTCATCATAAAGTTAGGTGAGCAACACATAATTCCAGGGGAATTTAAGGGACAAAAACAAATTCAGTAATCATGATAAATAGTATGTTAATATATTAATTTTTAAAAATCAAAAATGATTTATAAGAATTCATAACGAATAAAATATCAATAGTTTACCCACTTCTCTCTCCTCAATCTAGCCCCAATCTGCTAATAAGTAGGTCTTGGCATGGCTCTGTAACCTGGTGGTTAAGGCAGCCAGATCTCACATGGCCATTTGCACAGTTCAAGTCCTGAACCTGATGGTTTGAGAAACACACTAGGCACATGTGCATGCACGTCCAAAATCCTAAAAGGAGGAAGAGATGGAGAAGACAGGATTGTGGCATGACCATACTCCATATGGGGTACTTTCTCCTCTTCCTCTCTATCCATCTCCAGCAAGGTGCACACACCCTCTAGCAAAAAGAAGTAGGTCTTTACACCAGAGTGTCCTATTTCTTCTGTAAATCAGAGAGCTATGTTATATTGTTGGACCTTTTCAAAGAACCAAGAAATGGTAAAGTTGCTTCAACATTAGTGACCACACCCAGCAGAAAGGGACCAGGGACTTACTAGTGTGATGTAGTGGGGACTTGAAAAACTGGTTGGAAGGTTCTCCAAGGACTCTGCAGTTCTCTGCCAGGAAAAAGAGACACTATTGGCTTGCCATTATCATTCAAATAAGTATGACTATTTCCTAAAACCACAGAATAAAATTTCTAGCCCTTCCTGGAATACATTCCTAGTAAATACACAAATACTAAAAGACAGGAAAGTAATATTCTTCCCTAGATTGTTATCTTGCAACAGATGATTCTATTCAAAGCAAACTCACATGTGAGAAGAGTGAACATTATGTATGGGGAAATGAGTAGCACGAGGCAGATCTGTTAGCTTCCAAATCTTAACATCTCTAATCATCTGAATGCCTGAAATTCTCCAAAAAAAGCTATATTCTTTTGGATCTAGAAGATCTTTGAGAATCTCCAGAAATTCCTATTAAACTACAGATGCCTGATTGAAGTTACTCTCTTGAAAGTGCTTTCTGTTAACTTCCCAGTAGATATTAGTACCATTAGAAGCCATGGTTCAGTATAAACAGGACCTGGAAAGGCAATGCAGAGGGTTAGGGGAACACCTTAAATGAAACAGGGAAAGGATATCAAACACAAAACTGTCCCCAAACCACAATTTTGTTGAGTATTGGCCTTTGATTGATTTAAGGTGTCACACAGCCAGCAGACTTACTATTGTTCATATAATTTTATTCCAAATAATACAGAAATCCTTAATGTGATATTTGAGGGTCCAAACTCTCTCCTATGTTTATCATATATAATGGTACATATGCCATCAATAATAAATTGATTAATGAAGTATTTATTAATTCCCTTTTCTAGGTGTCCCTCATCTAGCCCAAAAACCAAAGACCTTAAGGAGTTTACAATCTAGAAATGTAACCGATATATCCCAGGTTCTTTATGACCCTTTGGTTGGCCTATGTGACCATTCATTGTCAATCACCCGCATAGGTCACATTCATCTGACTCCCTTCTCTGGGAGTGCACACGTTTTACATAATCATCTAAGGAAAATGTAATTAGGAAAGCAATTACAGTACTGCATGAGGCATAGTAGATGATTAACACATATTAAGTGCTAAATATATACCAAACACTGTGCTAAATACATTTACATATAGTTTTTCATTTAAACCTCAAGGCAAATATATGAGATTTATATTAGCATCGTGTGGTTTCTTATGAGAAAAATCTCAAGATAAGCTTTGAAAGTTACCACCAAAGGTCTCCTATCTATTAGAGTGGACTTGTTTTTACCATTTTGAGGTCATCACCAGCATAATAAGAAGCCAAATTGACAAAAAGTATGACAAACAAGCATATGTAACCAGAGAAACATTAACAAACTATCCATTTCTAAATATTGCAATAAATTTGATGGAGATATTTTTGCTAAAGTATCATATATGTGTTTCTGGGATAGGCTGAGGGCACGTTTTATAATATTGTGCAATTAAAAACACAAGGCATATGGGACCAGCAGTTAGCGTAATGGCTGTGTTGCTGGACTCCCATGTAATCGACCGTGATTCGAGTCCCGGACCTGGTGGCTTAAACTCACGCTGGGTGCGTGTGTGTGTGCGCCTGCCCAAGATCCCAAGAGGAGAATGGAGGAGAAGGGATTGCAGCATGGCCATCCCCCCTGGGGGGCTGATTTCTCACTTTCTGTCTCTCTGTCTCTCTCTCTGTCTGTCTGGCGAGTGCACATGCCCTATAGCAAAAACCGCTACAAAAAAAAAACCCCAAAAAATAAAAACAAAAAAACTCAAGGCATATAAGGTATGTGGAGTTGAGGCAAAGTATTCAAAACCTCAGGAACTGTGTAACCACCACCACCAATTAAATTTAAAAGTCCTATCATTGTATTTTAATTAGCACTGGCATCTAGTAACAGTTGATATCTAACTCTAAAACGTTTTTTTTAATTTTTGGAGAAGTTTTCGCTATAGGGCACATCCGCTCGCCAGAAAGACAGAGACAAAGAGATAGAAAGTGAGAAATCACCCACCAGGGGGGATGGCCACGCTGCAATCTCTTCTCCTCCATTCTCCTCTTGGGATCTTAGGCACGCATGCATACGCGCCCAGTGTGAGTTTAAGCTGGGGTCCGGGACTTGAACCGCAGTTGACTATGTGGCAGTCCAGTGACATAGCCATTATGCTAACTAATGGTCCTCTAACTCTAAAATTTGAGACTTATATTGTCTATTTCAAGACTTAGGTACTAGTGGGCAATTTTGTTGCTTTATTGATATGATCTTATCAAGAACATTGCTTTCTTCATCAGTTATTTTTAAAAGGACGGTCTTTTTTTTTTTTTTTTTTTTTGTATGGGTTTTTTACTATAGTGCCCATGCACTGCCAAAGAGACAGAGAGATGGAAAGCGAGAAATCACCCCCCAGGGGAGGATGGCCATGCTGCAATCCCTTCTCCTCCATTCTCCTCTCAGGATCTTGGGCAGGCACACATGCACACGCGCCCAGTGTGAGGTTAAGCCACCGGGTCCAGGACTCATACCGCAGTTGACTACGTGGGAGTCCAGCGACATAGCCATTATGCTAACTGCTGGTTCCCAAAGGATGGTCTTTGTAGTCTTTTAGTCTTTACTCAGTTTTTTAAGTGAGCTGAATGCACTTGAAATCGTAGCTGTTGTTACAGCAAACAACCCACTATTTCCATGGACTTCTGCAGAATTTTCAGCTTCTTTCTTAAGTCTTCATATATTGATAAAGTTTTTACTTTAATAAACTTTTTACTTATGCACAAAGAAATGCATGAATCCTAAGTGCAGAGGTAGGAGAATTTCCACAGGTGAACACATCTATAGAATAAGCCACCACTTTGACTAAAAAAAAAAAAAAAGTAACTTTATGACCTCCTGTGAAGATTCTTCCTTTCCTATGGTGACAGCTAGCCTGAGTTCTATACCACAGACTAGCTTTGCAAGCTTATCTTTTTGTACATTCCCTAATTATAGGTCTTTGTAGCTCACAATATTGTTTTTCAGAGTATGCGTGTATTGCATGACAATCAAACCAAGGCTATTACCATACACCATTTTCAACAGAGAACTTTACATTCTTTTGTCTATTAAGTGTTTCTTACCTTTGCCTCTCATACCTACTTCCTTCCTTCCTTCCTTCCTTTCTTTCTTTCTTTCTTTCTTTCTTTATCATAGCTATTTTAACTGAGATTAAGTTGTATCTCATTGTGGTTTTTGATTTGCATTTTCCTTATGTTAAGAGACATTGAACATTTCTTGATACTCATTTTGACCATTTGCAAATATTCCTTGGAAAGTTGTCTTTCCAGCTCATTTGTTCATTTTTAATGGATTATTCATTCGTTTGTTTGTGGGTGAACTGCTTGAGTTCCCTGTATATTCTGGTTACAATCTCTTATCTGAGGCATAATTTCAAAATATTTTCTCCTATTCTGTGGGTTGTCTCTTCACTTTAATTACTGTTCTCTTTGCTGTGGAGAAGGTTTAGCTTGAGTTAATCCTGCTTGTCTATTTTGGCGGTTATTGCCCATGATTTAGGTGTCTTATTTTAAAAATCTTTGACTACATCAATGTTTTCGAGTTTCCTTTAAGTTTTCGCCTAGTAGTTATATAGTTTGAGGCTTTACATTTATGTCTTTAACCCATTTTGAGTTTGTTTTTGTTAATGGTGAGAGATAGGTATCTTGTTTTATTTTTCCACAGATGGATATCCAGTTCTCCCAGCATCATTAGCTAAAAAGATTTTCTATTCTCCACTGCATTGTTTTGTACACATCATCAAAATTAAGTTGGCTGCATAATTTAGGTTTATTTCTGTATTTTCTATTCTGTTTTATTGGCCTCTATGTCTGTTTTCATGCTATTACCATGTTATTTATTTATTTATTTATTTATTTATTTATTTATTTAA